CCCCCCCCCATCTCTCGCTCTACCAACGACGAGGCGCGGGGAAGAAAAGCGAGACGCGCCAGACAGCTCCGTAATAGTCTACCATTCGGCTTGTCGATATTATCCGACGCGTCGTCGGAGTCGATTCCGTTGCAGTACACGTCGAATACATCAATACCTTAAGAGCCACAATGTAATCAATGCCGCGCGGTAATTCGGAAACGCGACAGGAAAGGAGGGAAGGAGGGGGAGATCGTCGCGCATTCACGCGGGACACGTGTCTTTCCTCGTGCCGGGCGTTTAACGCCGGCATGACGTCGATTATCCCACGTGGTGTGTGTGTTCTGAGATGTCGAGGTTGATCTCTCGATCGACGTACGGATATTCGCCCGTGAGATATAACGGAAAGTGATCGGCGTGAACGACGAATACATTTAAGCGTGCACGGGGTGAGGCAATAACTCTCCTCTATTGACATCGTGAATATCACCGAAATATGAGAGAAGGTAAATCTACCTGAAAGTCTACATGGAGAAAAAGGTACCTTTCGATTTAGTAAGATTTTCTTTGATCGAAACAAATTCGTTTTTTTGGAATGGAGCAAACAAATGAATGCTCGACTCGATAAACAGGGATTATTTGGATTGTCAAACAATGAATATCTTTGCGTCAAATAATACGTTTCTCTATTTTTAACTGAACATTACAATGGTTGTTACAATTGATAATTTACTTGAAGCAGTAATACTTATGTTAGAAAAATATTTAAAAACTTCTTTGTTTCAGTGCACAAACAATATTGAACAATATTTAATACATAATGAAATAAATTATCTTGTAATTGAAAACGGGATATTATTTCCTCTAACACTGTGTTTTCGATCAAATAATATAGTTTATTCTGGTGAAATAATATTTTCATTCAGACAAAATGATATTCGGTATTAATTATGTTGTTTATATTAAATATACTCGAGTCAAACACGTAGCCTCTATACATCTATCATTTTCAATAATTAATAAAGCGAATTTTTTCGTGCTTGTTTGCAAAATGATAAAAAAACTTTTTTTTTCACATTCACCTAAACTACAACTAAACGACTGAATGAGACAGAACAAAGACCTGTATAATATTTAACATATAATAGGATTTTCATGACAAAATATATATTATATAAATTTACATACACAAATGTATAAAAATGTAATAATATAACAGAATTACATTGATATTGATCGTCACTTCGCGAACACCTTCCGCAAATACAAAATCTTTTTCATCTTCATCTAGTCATTAATAAACTATATTGATTTTTCGAAGATGTTTCAAGTAATTAATGGCTACCGCCTCATCCTGTGTACGCGTGAACTCGGGGAAAGTTATCGCGACGTCACACATCCGGGGTACAAGTTTGAGCGGTACAAGTGGAAGTAATGACAGGTTGGTCGTGGCGGAGACCACGGCTCGCGAAGCGGATAATCGCGCTGGTGTTCTTCCGCGCCGTGCTGTGGAATTAAACGGTATTTAATTGCAAAATTCTCTCAAGCGCGTCCGAGGTTGCCGTTCGCGTTCGTTCGCTCATGGTGAACTCGCGAAATCCTCGCCGGCACTAAGGAGCGGCAAAGTAACGCTCGGGCAAGAAGAATCGCAAGACCTCGCAATTGCGCGAGCGTGCCTGTAGTTTGCACGCGCTTCTGCGAGAGACGTGGTCGGCGGATCTGGCCTCGCGAAATTTATCGGATCGACGCACAGTCTTCGCAACGCCCGGAGGATCTCCGACCAGTGACCTGGATCGCCGTGAACGTATGCTCTCGGAGACACGAGAAATAAATAGATACCTCGATAACACCCCATAGACATAATAACAACGATAAAATCCGCCCCGCAAATATATCTTTCGGTGGGTAAACACTCACGGACTCTTCCTTTCTCTCTCTCTCTCTCTCTTTCTCTAATGACACTCTCCGCGTGTGAGGTCACCGGAGGCGGGAGGAATCGCTGTCCGAGAGAGATTACGGTTACAAAATTTACGATAAGGTTGGATGTGTAACGTTTCCATCGATGCATATGCAATGTGCGTCGCGATAGCCTTGGGTTTGACTCGTTCGTTTGTGTGAAACGAACGTCGCCTCTCGGTCATCCGTTCGCGTTCTCTCTCTCTCTCTCTCTCTCTCTCTGTCATCCACGCACGTTTTTTCTTTCTCATACTCTCCGCGTTACTCTCAATTACGCTCTCGCATGATACGACACTTCGTTATATAATAATTCAAAGACACTCGCTCGCTTGCTCGCTGGCGCTCGCGAGATTCACGCTGTGTCTTTCTGACATCGATCGCTTCTCCTTCTCTATCGGTGCGCTGCCCGTCGACGCGGTGAATCGATGATGCGCGAAATACTTTCCCGATGATTCTATTGTAATCGGTCCCGCGAAGAGAAACGAACGACGGATTTTGGCTCCGACGAAGTGCAAGCGCACACTGAGAAAAATCCCTAAGTTTCCAGGACAAGAGTTCTCTCGTTATTTGAAGATCTGTTAGGGAAACGAATCGAGAAGTTACCGTTGCTGATCGTTTATCATTTGTTATTTCAACAAACTATCATCAAGACAATACAAAAGTGTTTGTTAGAGCAGCCAACTATAGAAGTAGAAATTATTTGCTCCCACTACGAGGTCATTTGTTGCAGATATTGGTAATTTGTTAAACTGATAAAAATTCTTCTCTCAGTGCAACTTGATGATTTTACGACGAGGTGAGGTCGACGTTAAGACCGGTTCCGAGAAAACGCGACCTTCGTAAATCTGTACACCTCATTCTTCGAGGAGGTGTGAAAAATGAGTAAAAAAAGGGGAAATATAATAGAAAGGGTGGAGTTACGCTATGGACGCGGGGTTAAGGGTTAAGAGACCCGTCG